CTGAGACCCAAATTAATACTTTGGAAACTGAGGCCCAAATCTTTAAAATAAGAGAATACTATCTCAGAAGACTAGCATGAGGAAGAGATATTCAAGTTTGTAGCATGGTACCCGGCATATACTAAGGGCTTGGGAAATATTACTTCACCCTACTAATCCCCACAAGCTTCCAGTATTATGTGATCATTTTTGCATAATTGATAATGTTGTTGTTCACAACTCCTGAGATAAGTTCAGGAAAATATAAGTTGTAACTTTCATACAGAAATTTGTCCATTGCAAATAAGTCAAAGTTAATTGTTTTTGGTAAAAATCCTTAGGTCTTCCCCACATCTGAGAACAGTCTGTAATTCTTTCAAGTCTGTAAGAATAACAACTACTTTGAAAACAGTTACCTGGCTAGCTTAGTGTTGTGAACAGAATATAAACCAACAATGAAAAGTGAAGTAGTGTCTGGAGATGCAAACTTTGAAAGTATCTGTCCAGCACTGTGCAGTGGTAGAAACTGAATCTAGGGAAAGCATGCTTGCTTTGCTTCTTGTCATTAGAGATGTATTTTCAACTCTGGACAATGATATTTTATCAGACCTCATCTTGATCTAATAACTCTGCTTTTTTTGATCACATGCTAAAATGGGTACCCTGGAGAGGGAGGACAAATATCCTCTGGTTACTGGAAAGGACTAGCTTCTAATATAAATTAGTAAATTGACCTTCTAGCTTATACATGAGTCTTATGTGATTATAACTAGTATTTTTCTGTCACAGGGAATTTGATTCCTTTAGGAATATTGAGAAACATTAGTGCTTAGACATTGCTAGATTTGCGACTTAGCCTTTTTGGTCTGGTAATTTCCCTAAATTCATGTTGTCCTTTGACTTTTGGCTGTCAGCCAGATGGATCTCCCAGTTACACCTCTTCTTTAATATGCCCTGTTATGTCATCTACCTTTCAACTGTCAATAAATAGTAATTTGTTTTTTGAAACCATTTTCTGATATTTCTGTGCCTGATGATCTTGAGTATGTTCTTTTTGTAAAACGCTGAAACACTGAGGTGCCTTTTTACTACCACCCTCCATGCTGGTCTCCTTTGCTGCTCTGACTACTCTTCCCACCAGGGTAATACTTCTGTGTGGCAGTATGAATGGGCAGTACTCAATCACAGGTTGTTTATGACATGGAAGATACAGGATGAAGAAACAGTTTGCTCTCCTTGGTGGTAGCTGTTCAACGATACATTGTGTAGACCTATCTATGTTACTAAAGAGATTTCTCTCATTATTTCAAAATACTGCATGATATTCCAAAGTATAATAAACTTGTTTATTTAACTATTTTCCTATGAATGGATGTTTAGGTTTTTACCAGTTCTTTACTACTATAAACAACCTTGTATATGTCTTCTTATACACAAATACCAGTTTTCATCTAGGACAGTGGTTCTCAATCGGGGACAATTTTGCCTCCCAGGGGACATTTGGCACTGTCTAGAGACATTTTTAGTTGTTATAATGTAGGGAGAGGGTTGTGCTACTGGCATCTAGGTATAGGCAAGGATGCTGCTAAACATCCCACAGTGCACACGACAGCCTCTACAACAAAGAATTATCTAGTAAAACTGCGGTCCTACCCCTGCCCCCCGCTGCCAGCTGGCTGCAGACTGGTACTTGTCCATGACCTGTTAGGAACTGGGCTGCACAGGAGGTGAACGGCAGGCAAACCAAAGCTTCATCTGTATTTACAGCAGTTTCACATCACTCACATTACCACATAAGCTCTACCTCTTGTCAGATCAGCTGTGGCATTGCATTCTCATAGGAGCACAAACCCTACTGTAAACTGTGCATGCAACGGATCTAGGTTTCATGCTCCTTATGAAAATCTAATGTCTGATGATCTGAGATGGAGCTGAGGCAGTGATGAGGTTGCAAATACAGATTACCATTAGCAGAGAGGTTTGACTGCACAATAAATGTAATGCACTTGAATCATCCCCACCCCACTGCCCCAGTCTGTGGAAAAATCGTCTTCCATGAAACTGGTCCCTGGTGCCAAAATGGTTGGGGACTGCTGCAGTAAAACATCAAAGCCAATGCCATGTTTTGGGCTTTTGTTAATACACAATCCACACCTGGTGTTTCTGTATCAGTTAACTATTACTGTATAATAAATAATAGCAAAATTTAAAATAACAATAGCTTATTAGTCTTCCTGATTCTATGGGTTAGATGGGCAATTCTTGAGATCACTCATGTAACTGCATTCAGCTGGACAGTGGTGGGGATGGAAAAGCCAAGGCAGCTTCACTCATGTCAGGCAGTTTGTGCCAACTGTCATGTAGGATGCCTTGGTTCTCCTCCATGTGGCCTCTTATCCTCTAGCAGCCTAGACCAGATAACTTATATGCTCAGGGCATTGTTCCAAAAGAGCAAAAAGTGGAAGCTGATAGTTTTATTGAAACCTGAACCTAGAATTCACACAGCATCACTCCTGCCACATTCAGAATTCACATAGTGCCACTTCTGCTGCATTCTGTCAACCCAAGTTGCAATGTCAAGAGGGGAGAGAGACTACTTCTTGCTGAGAGGAGCAGTTTCCACCAAGTCACACTGAACAGAATTGGTGATGTGAGGATTAGAAGATAAGGGAAGTGAAGTAGTTTGAGTTTTTAGAAGCATTTTTTTTTTTTTGAGACACAGTCTTGCTTTGTTGCCCAGGCTAGAGTGAGTGCCGTGGCGTCAGCCTCACTCACAGCAACCTCAATCTCCTGGGCTCAAGCAATCCTCCTGCCTCAGCCTCCCGAGTAGCTGGGATTACAGGCATGCGCCACCATGCCCGGCTAATTTTTTCTATATATATTAGTTGGCCAATTAATTTCTTTCTATTTAGTAGAGACGGGGTCTTGCTCTTGCTCAGGCTGGTTTTGAACTCCTGACCTCGAGCAATCCGCCTGCCTCGGTCTCCCAGAGTGCTAGGATTACAGGCGTGAGCCACCTCGCCCGGCCAGTTTGAGTTTTTAGTATGGTGTAAGACTGACAGTGTTTGTCTTAGACCTAGTGGAAAATCTTAAGTGTACCATGGCTAGAGGACATGCATTGAGGACAATGGTCCATTGAAGACAATAAAAATGGTCCATTTTTATTGATAAAAATTGCAATTAAAAGTCACAGGTTGGCTGGGTGCAGTGCCTCACGCCTGTAATCCTAGCACTCTGGGAGGCCGAGGTAGGCAAATTGCTCATGGTCAGGAGTTCGAAACCAGCTTGAGCAGGAGCGAGACCCTGTCTCTACTATAAATAGAAAGAAATTAATTGGCCAATTAATATATATAGAAAAAATTAGCCGGGCATGGTGGCGCATGCCTGTAGTCCCAGCTATTTGGGAGGCTGAGGCAGGAGGATTGCTTGAGCCCAGGAATTTGAGGTTGCTGTGAGCTAGGCTGACCCCATGGCCCCCACTAGCCGGAGCAACAAAGCAAGACTGTGTCTCAAAAAAAAAAAAAAAAAAAAAAAGTTACAGGTCACTTTTATCATCCTATCTCACATTACATCATATTGTAAAGATCTGTATGAGTCTTTATCTCTCTGTCCACAGTGTCTATTTTTGAATGGAACTCAGTAATTTTTTTGTGTAATCAAACTGAAATGACTAGCTGCCAACCAAACAATTCTGTTGACCCTTGGCAGTTGCAGGTTTAACATTCCAGGATTTGACTATTCAAAAATGATTCCAAAGGTCCATGACATGATGTCATTTATAACTGCTGAGGCATGAATATGAATCATGCTGTGAGGCTGTATGCTAGAAAAAACTCGTAGCCATCAAGTGAGCTTCATCTCAACACAGCATCATTGTTCACAGCCTATTCAAGTGTGAAATCCCATTAGTGACATCTTATGAAAGGGTCACTTAATTCCCAATGTTACTGTACTGCATTTTATGAAGATAACATGCTATAGTGGTATATGTCAACATAAAACTTGTGAAAATCTGGGGCACTATGTCTGTGGCTGAGCATAAAAAGGGGGATGTGTGTGCCTAAACTTCCACTTGGAAAAACTGCTGGAAATAGCATTGTCTTAGGGATGCTTTTAGGATGTTCTTTGAAAAGTGAAGCCACAACTAGTGAGTACTATTGGACGGATATCCAGCCTCCTCTGCCTTTCTTTACTTGCTGTATGGCCAGACTATAAACTCCTAGGCCTCAAATCAAAGAGATGCCCTGAGTGCAGAGCTGGAACATGAATCCTAAAAAGTAGTCAACAGTTAAACTTTGTGCTTCTCTTTCATGACTACTCACAGTCACTTTTTATTTTTGAAACTACTTTATTGAGCTATAATTCACATACTATTCATAATCACTTTTTTTTTTTTTTGAGACAGAGTCTCACTTTGTTGCCTTGGGTAGAGTGCAGTGGCATCATCATAACTTATTGCAACCTCAAACCCCTTGGCTCAAGTGATCCTCCTGCCTTAGCCGGCATGTGCCACCATGCCTAGCTCACAGTTACTCCTTACGGGCTCTGTTGAAAAGTAAAAAAAGAACCAAAAATGGATTCATTGGTCCATTTTACTTTTTGTTTTCAATACAAAGCTATGCTTATGTCCAAGGGGATCCTGGAGTATTGTATCCACTTTAACTGTATTTTCATTTTACTTTTATTATAATGAATTTATATTGATGAATGTTAAGGGCAGCCTAATCTCCTATTTTATAAAAACTAAAGGAAAATAAAGCACATTAACTTTCAATGTCCACTTTGCAGTATATAGAAAAAGCACAGGATTTAAACTCCTAGTGTCCTTTGTCTTTTGTACCTGGCATATTATAATCTATAATCTATTATATTCTACAATATGCCAGGCGGTTCTGCAAAGGAGAACCACAGAATATACTTAAATATCAAATAAAAGTCACGTTTAATAGCCCATTTACTTCCAGTTATAAGAAAATGTAAGATAAATCATTCGGAATCATTCTGCTTAAAATGTATTACAGGAGGAAGTCTAACAGGAGCTGTATTTAATCCAGCTTTGGCACTTTCACTACATTTCATGTGTTTTGATGAAGCATTCCCTCAATTTTTTATAGTATATTGGCTGGCTCCTTCTTTAGGTAAGCATATTTTTATTTATTACTAAGTCTGAAAGATTGAGATATCTTTAAATATGATATGGAATGTAACTGCCAGAGTAGGCACAAAAAAGAAAAAGGTAGTTAACATCCCTGAAATAACATTTTATTCCTGTAGAACTGTTTTTATCTTCAAAGAAACAAAATCTAGTTAATGGTAGTCAGCTTCAGATATAGATATCATTTTAAGAAAACCAGAGATCCGAACACAAAAATAGCAAAGAGTGCTTACTTCCATTTAAAAATAATCTCAGCTGGGAGTGGTGGCTCATGCCTGTAATCCCAACACTTTGGGAGGCCCAGGCAGGAGGCAAGATCTTGTCTTGGCAAAAAATTAAAAAAAAAAAAAAAAAAAAAAATTAGCTGGGCATGGCAGCAGGTGCCTATAGTCCCACCACCTCCTAGGGAGGCTGAGACAGGAGGATGGCTTGAGCCTAACTCAGGTAATTAATTTATTTATAGCTATGTTGCCCAGGCTGGTTTTGAACTCCTGGCCTCAAGCCATCCACACCCCTTGGCCTCCCAAAATGTTGGGATTACAGGTGTGAGCTGCCACAGACTCATCTTTTACATAATTTCAAATCTGCACATGACAATTCATTTTTGCCAGGCACAGCGGCTCACAGCTATAATCTCAGCAATTTGGGAGGATGAGGTGAGAGAATTGCTTACGCCCAGGAGTTCAAGGCTGCAGTGAGCTATGATCGCACTGCACCACTGCACTCCAGGCTGGATGACAGAGCAAGACCCCATCTCTTACAAAAAACAAAAAACTGATATTTAATCTGAATATAAACTGACCTAAGGCTTTAAGCCTAAGTATGTTCAAATTAAGATAAAAAGTTAACCATTGCAGATTTACCTTTCAGGATAGTGCTTTGAGCCCTTGGCTGACTGTCCTCTGTCCCTATTTCACATCAAAAAAGTAACCAATGGCTACATGCTGGATTGTTGTAACCTCAAAAATGATTTACTAATATGTGAATTCTTAAAACTTTTCATTATATTTAAGATTTAAAATTTCAGCATTGGCTAAAATTTTAAGTATTTTGCTTGATGCATCTCTAAAAGCTGTTAACAGTTTAGACTGAAAAAAGAGAAGGGAGAAAGTAATCTAATATATTGTTCTTATTTGAGCATTACAAGTAAAAATTCAGAGTGTTTTCAGTTGCTTTATTCTCTGGGTACATCCCTTGGAGCATAGAGGGAAGTAGAATGTTACCATTTTAAAGAGTAACAAATGGAGACTCAACTCCAGGGTTTCACACTCAGAAAGTCAGTAATGAAGCCAAGATCAAAACCATAAATCTAAGAAAGAAATAAAGAGGAAAAAAAAAAAACCATAAATCTTTGGACTTCATCCTTTGAATTCATTGTTTAGATCCTACTGGTTCTACTTAAGTGCATACTGTTTTTGAGGATTCGTGGTTGAAGAAAAATAATGTGAGTGTATTAGATTAAAAGTATCTAACATGTTTCATGTAGAACTGAAGTAGCTAATTCTTTAAGCATAGCTTTCCACATCTCTAGTTATATAATTGTATATAATCTTAAACTATACCCACGTAGTGGTTATGAACTTCCTTAAAAATTGTTTTGTTTTTATTTTACTGTATTTGTCTTTCAGGTATATTGTTGATGATTCTGATGTTCAGCTTTTTCCTTCCATGGCTGCATAACAACCATACAATTAATAAAAAGGAATAACTTCCAAAAGACTCAGACTAAGATACAGGACAGTCAAGCTGGGTGTGATAAAGATTTTAATTACCTCATATTCCAAAAACTGTACTGGATTCATCAATATTAACTTCCTTTGAGGAAGCTGCCTTATAGTTTTCATCACTGAGACTTAAAAATATTACTGTGAAAATGAGGTATTCTGTATTTCTCAGTTAAGACTTGTTCTTTTGAGTGATGTATTAAATGCTGCTAGAAAAGACTTAATTACATTAAACATAAATCTCAAGTGATAATTGTTAACTTTGATGAAAAGCAAATGAGTACAGGGTGAGAAGGGAAGGGAAGGTGATGGGAGGACCGAAGAACATATATCAAGTGTCACCTGAATGAACAGAATTTTTAACCAAAGTGTAAGCAGTCAAGCTTACAGAACTGGGGAGAAGATACTTTCCAGCCACTATTTCACACAGTGATACCATCAGCAGTGTCATCTTTCAATAGGAAAGTTGCTTTTGGAAGTACATTATATATCTACTTATACTCAACGGGTTCCCTAAATTGTAAGTATTTTATAATCTAATATTTCAAATATTTGCTCTAAATAGACAAGCTCACTAGCTTCAGGCAAGTTGTTTTACATTAATAGACTACATTAAAACAAAGCACCCACACAAAGTCAAGATTTAAACCTTTCATATTCTTGTTTGATCCTAACAGCTACCTTGTGAAGTAGGTAGGGCATGTATTTTTTTTTTTTTTTTTTTGAGACAGTCTCACTTTGTTGCCCGGGCTAAGAGTGAGTGCTATGGCGTCAGCCTAGCTCACAGCAACCTCAAACTCCTGGGCTCAAGCAATCCTCCTTCCTCAGCCTCCCAAGTAGCTGGGACTACAGGCACACGCTACCATGCCCGGCTAATTTTTTCTATATATATTAGTTGGCCAATTAATTTCTATTTATAGTAGAAACGGTGTCTCGCTCTTGCTCAGGCTGGTTTTGAACTCCTGACCTCGAGCAATCTGCACACCTCAGCCTCCCAGAGTGCTAGGATTACAGGTGTGAGCCACCGCACCCGGCCAAGGGCATGTATTTTTAATCTCCATTTTATGGAAAAGGAAACTAAGCTTAGAGGGCTTTGCCAGCCTGCCTTAGGTCACAGAGAGCCAAATACCATCTTTAAATTTTTACTTCAGTCCAAAAACTGTTCTCGGTCATGATTATCATTAAAGGAAGATTGAAGGTTCTGAAGAAACAAATACTGTATAACAACAATAAAATTTGTTTAGGAATTAACTAGTATTTTTTGAGGTTTAAAGAACCTTCACATTTTACTCTGTTAGAAGCCTTCTTTTATTGTGGGAAGTTCTCATTTTTATTAAAAGTTCAGGCCATAGAGCTGGGCCTGGTGGCTCACACCTATAGTCCCAGCACTTTAGGAGGCTTAGGTGAGAGGATCACTTGAGGCCAGGAGTTCCAGACCAGCCTGGGCAATGTAGTGAGACCTCATCTCAAAAAATAAAAGGAAAAATTAGCTCAGTGTTCTGGTGTGTGTGCCTATAGCCCCAGATACTCTAGAGGCTGAGGCAGGAAAATCACATAAGCCCAGGAGTCTGAGGCTGCAGTGAGCCATTATGATCATACCACTACATCCACCCTGGGCAAGCCCATCTCTTTAAAAAAAAGAAAAAGAAAAAAAAGTTCAGGCCATAAAAGGTTAAGCGTGTTTCTCTTCAAAGGAAATTCCATTATCACAGAATTAACTGTAAAAAATATGGGGTGAGATATGATCTGTTTGAGCAATAATCAGTTAACGAGCAACTGATAAGTTGCCAGGTAATTTAAGTGCTGCTCAGTGATCAGCTTGTAGATAGTCACTCTACTTACATCTGCAGACTGAACAGGTGCAGCTTGTTGCTAATTCTATCCAACAAGGCAGCCAGTTTGACTATCATGGACTTATGCTCTAACCTACAAATTCAGCCCATAGTCATTTGTATTTTAAAAAGTAGAGTTCACAAAAATTGTGACTGAACTGTTAAATGCAGATGTTTTTATTTGGCCTGCACAGTGCTTAATAATGGCTATTCCCTTTTTATTTTATTTTTTATTTATTTATTTTTTATTGCGGCATATGATGGGGGTACAGATTTTAAGAATGGTCCAATTTTCCAAATATGAAAAGCTGAGTTTAACTTGTTTCATGGCTGTTTTTCTTACAGAAATGTTTTTAGTCACATGTCTTGCATGAGGGCTTCTGTGGTTTAAGAAAAATGATTATTAATTTGTGAAAACACCCAGCCCTCTGAATTTCATCAGTCATACTTTTGAGTTGTGACTTCTGATGACACTGCTTTCCCTGTAGCCCTCTCAAGTGGTGGCTGTTTTCTCTCATACCTTTTTTTCCCCTGAGACTGGGTGCTTTGAATTCCTGGGCTCAAGTTATCCTCCTACCTCAGCCTCCTGAGAAGCTGGGATTACAGGTGCGAGCCACCATGCCCAGATAATTTTTGTTTTAGAGATGGGCATCATGCTATGTTGCCCAGGCTAGCCTTGAACTCCTGGGCTCAGGTGATCCTCCTACCTCAGCCTCCCAAGTAGCTGGGACTACAAGTGTGTGCCACCACACCTGGTTCTCCCATACCTCTTCTACCACTGTGCCTGGAGGTGAAATAGTCTTCTCCTTACCCTCATTGCTGCTTCCCATCCATTCTCCTGTGCCTCATCCATTAAAAATATGTCATCAGCTACCTAGGTACTGTTGCAGTCATCTATTTAGTCTCTCAACTCCCTTTGTTCCTTTAAGACTGTAGTTACTGTCTCACTCTCTACAACGCTACTACAGTTGTATTTCTTGGTGGTTAAAACCCACAAAGATGACTCTTCTAATGCTTGGCCTTGGAGTTCATTGGCTCTCTCCTTTGGTAATTTTGTCTTCTAATCTGCCTCACCTACAACTTTGTTGGTAACCTTTAGCTTATTACCAATAACTGAAATCTCTGACCTCAAACACCCCGCCCTCCAACCACTAACCCCTTTCCAGCCCATTTTAGGACCCCATCTCCAGTGATCCTTTGACCCCCAAGGGGAACTTCTATGCACTGATTAACAGCACTTTTCACGTCTCTCACCCCTCCCAAGTACCTTATTCTCCTTAAACAGCTTAAATTACTTAGCCAATCATCATCACACACATGCTTGCATACATTCTTAACTCCCTTCCTTCTCTATCTCATCATACTCCCATGGCTTAGCCTCAACTTAATTAAATCCAACCGTATGTCTATTCCATGCCTGCACCCATGCAACAGAATAAAATCACAACCTTTTAAATTATTTTTTTAAAGATTCAGGGTTGCAATAGACAGCTATAAAGTCAATTTTTTTTTTATAAGACAGCATCTAAGCAGTCTTTCTGTTTGGGATAATCAACTCCTGCGACAATCTACACAGAGACAGTGCCCTTCCACTGCCAAAGCTTACAGGGTCAGATACTCCTTCTGCCCCCGGCAAATATGGGTTGTGTGGTGACTCAAAGACAGGGACAATTAAGAAATGAGGCTAACAGCAGCAGGGCAATCAAACATCTTATATAAACATAATGGTTCCTAATCTTTTTATGAGCCTGGTTTATGTCAACTTCCTATTCATTGTATGAGCTACCAGATAGTCTTCTTTTTTTTTTTTTTGGAGACAGAGTCTTGCTTTGTTGCCCAGGCTAGGGTGAGTGCCGTGGTGTCAGCCTAACTCACAGCAACCTCAAACTCCTGGGCTCAAGCAATCCTGCTACCTCAGCCTCCCGAGTAGCTGGGACTACAGGCATGTGCCACCATGCCAGGCTAATTTTTTTTTTCTATATATGTTGGCCAATAATTTATTTCTACTTATAGTAGAGAGGGGGTCCCGCTCGTGGTTTCAAACTCCTGACCTTGAACAATCTGCCCACCTCAGCCTCCCAGAGTGCTAGGATTACAGGCGTGAGCCACCGCGTCCAGCCCAGATAGTCTTCTTTTTTTTTTTTGGAGACAGAGTCTTGCTTTGTTGCCCAGGCTAGGGTGAGTGCCGTGGTGTCAGCCTAACTCACAGCAACCTCAAACTCCTGGGCTCAAGCAATCCTGCTACCTCAGCCTCCCGAGTAGCTGGGACTACAGGCATGTGCCACCATGCCAGGCTAATTTTTTTTTTCTATATATATATTAGTTGGCCAATTAATTTCTTTCTACTTATAGTAGAGAGGGGGTCTCACTCTTGCTCAGGCTGGTTTCAAACTCCTGACCTTGAACAATCTGCCCACCTCAGCCTCCCAGAGTGCTAGGATTACAGGCGTGAGCCACCGCGTCCAGCCCAGATAGTCTTCTAATAAACATTTTCTGCTTAAGCTAGCCAGATTTAGATTTATTTACAACTAGCATTGGGGCTGATATAGTGTCATAATTTTATGAACATACATTGCTGTACTATCTTAATATTTGCATTATCTATTATACAGGCTTAGACTGCTGTATTTTGGAGGAATATATATTTGCTTTTCTTTATAATTCTGCCAGCTATTTACTGCTGTTACTGTTATGCCTGATGGAACCACGGCTTTTTCCTTTTCTAACCTGTTGTGTGCCTAGAAACTAGATACTTAAGTACATTAGACATGTCTATAGAGCAAGAGCAGAGACTTGCAATGAAGGCCTGAAGGTCCTGAGAAAAACACGCAGATTTCATGATGTCTACTTTATTTATTTTTTATTTTCTAAATATTTTTTCTTTTTCATTGCTTTTTTTTTGGTTGTTTTTGGAGACAGAGTCTCACTTTGTTGCCCAGGCTAGAGTGCTGTGGCGTCAGCCTAGCTCACAGCAACCTCAAACTCCTGGGCTCAAGCAATCCTCCTGCCTCAGCCTCCTGAGTAGCTGGGACTACAGGCATGCACCACCATGCCTGGCTAATTTTTTCTCTCTCTATATATTAGTTGGCCAATTAATTTCTTTCTATTTACAGTAGAGATGGGGTCTCACTCTTGCTCAGGCTGGTTTTGAACTCCTGACCTTGAGTAATTTGCCCGCCTCAGCCTCCCAGAGTGCTAGGATTATAGGCCTGAGCCACCGCGCCCCGGCCATATTTTTTTTTTTTTTTTAAGTAAAACATGGGAACATGATGTCTACTTTAATTGCTCAGTGGATTTTTAAAGTTTAAGCTTCTCAGATGTATTCTAAATGGTGGGTTAATGTTGTATTTGTACCTGCTGCTTTCTGATATGAAAAGTTAGGTATTAACAACTATTAAGCTATTTTCTAGGCACTATTGTT